CAACTTTCTTTAGACTTAATCCTGGGTATCCAATGATTTTTTATGACATTACCTATGGTATCTTTCAATAAACAGCACTTATTATTTGACTGTTGTTGATATATAGAAAAAGACTAAATTTATGTATATTGAACTCACATCCAGAGATTCTGCTATACTTGCTTATTAATTCTAAGAGTTTGTCTATATACTCTTTTGGATACCTATGTACATGTAAACTGTGAATGAGTATTATTAATATCTCCTCCCTTTCCAATCCTTATAGTTTTCTCCCTTATTGCTTTGACTAGAACTTTCATGACAATTTTCAATAGAAGTGATAACAGCAAGTACCTTTACTTTGTTTTGCTCTCAAAGGGAAAAGCTTTCAATAACTTACCATTAAATATCATTTTGTTGTTGGATGTTTTTGTAGGTATTCTATTAGATTTAAGAAGTTCTATCATGAGTTGTTGCAGAATTCTGTATCCATAGAAACTCATATAATTTTTCTCTTTTTATCAGATAATGCGTTAATTATCCAAGTTTCCTGGACTAAATGCTGCTAAGTTGTGTATGTATGTATCACATTTTAAGTATCACTGAATTCAGTTTACTGATATTTTAAAATTTTTGTACCTATATTTCTGAGACAGACTGTGTACACTGTTCCTTTCTTATAATGTCAAGGTTTAGCTTCAAGGTTATACTGTCTGTATACAACAAGTAAAAGAAATTTCCTCTCTTATTCTATTCTTTGTTTGAGGTATGTAGTTATTTCCTCCTTAAAAGCCAGACAAAAGTCTTCTGCTGCTTTTTTGAAGGTAGGGTGTTGTTTTTTTCTCTGACCACTTTTAAGATTTTCTCTTTATCTATAGTTTTTAAGAGTCTTAAAATGATGTGCCTATATACGGTTTTCTTTAATATTTATCCTTCTTAGTAACACAGTTTCTTAAATCTGTAGTTGACATCTTTTAACAGTTTTTAAAAATTCTTGTTTATTGTATCTTCATATATTTGGCTTTTGCCCCATTCTCTTTCTTCTCCTTATGGAACTCCCATATATTAAACTTCTTAACTATGTACCTTTCTTAACTATGTCTCTTTCCTAAATTTTCTATTTTCTTCACTCAATGCTTTAATCTGGAGACTTTTTATGAAACTATCTTCCAGTTCACTAATCCTTTCTTCTTCTGTGTCTCATCTGTTTTTAAACTCATTCATCAGATCGGCAATATGGTTGACTAGAAGTGTCTGGTCCTTCTCCCCACCAACAATGAAGGACCAAATCAATGAATAAACGACTCACATTCAACTTCAGTGTCTGACAGAGAGCACTGGAGTACAGAAAAGAGTACTAAGATCCCTGTGGAGTACGAAAGCCCAGGAGGGTAGCACAGAGAGGTGAGTAAGGCATTCGGCCTCTGTTGCCCTGCTCCCCCACTGTGATTGGCTCATAGCTAGGAGGGACTTCCCCTTCCAGGGAAAAGGTAAGCAGAAGGCACCCACCAACCACACATTCTTCATAAGCCCTGAGCTCATTTTGAGGAACTGCCTGGAAATCAGGCAACTGCATTATTCCAGAGTCAGAAACACATGTTGTGCACTCCCCAAACCCCTATGACCCAAGCTGCTGCAGCATGGAGCCATTTTCAAACCAGAGCCACTGCTGACGTGTGCCTTGTTCTGAAGGCCAATAGCCACTGTACTTCTCCAGCCTTGGGCTCCACTGTCATTCCACCAAGCCCATACAGGTGGCACAACACTACAACACAAGCAGCTTGGAACCCAGGCCCAAGAACTGTCTTGACTTTATCACACACAGTGGAGAAGCCAACACCAGGCAAGCAGAAATGACACACATCTGAACGTCAGGCTGGAAAAATAGTCTGTCAAACCTTCCCTTTGTGAGCCCACCTGGCACCCCTGATTGGAAAAACAATTTAGTGGACCTGCATCCAATGAGCTTGACCCTAAGTCACTGAATCGCCATGCGCTCATAACCCTGGCTGGAGAAACAGGCCAGCAGACCCTTCTCCAGTGTACCCACCCCCAAAACCAGCTAAATCAACTGAATCAACATACATTCCCCGAGCTAGAGAAACAGCCCAGCAGGTGGGACCT